AGAGGTTGTCACAGACAAACTTAAAAAGCCATTTTCTTAAACTCCTTGTTTTGGACTAAAGTCAATTTAGTTACTTGCCTGAGGCATCAAATTAAAAGGAGATGTGGAAAACTGAGATCAAGATAAATAATATTTTAATGTAGTACCTTGTTCTCACTTGAATCACCCTAATCTTGGCCCTGACTGAGATGCTGACATATCTAAAATCTCATTTGTGGAAAGATCTAAAAATAAAACTTCCACAAATGTGGACATTCTTACTGACCTATACATTGGTGTTATTATTTAAAAAAAATACATAAATACAATAATAAAAATAAACTCTGCTGCCAAAATTCTCCATTTTTTGCTAGTGAAAATCTAATAAACATTCTCCACATAATGCATTTGAATCTTTATGGAATAGTAGACATTGCATTTAAAAATAGATTCGATGATTTAGCAAAGAAACCCTTTTAGACACCAGGTTTACTGCACTGTTACATTTTTACTATAAGAAGTAAATCTTCCTTTAAAAAATGTTCCTCAAGACTTTGTTCTTGTTTTAATTCTCTAGAGTAGAAATATAGGTGAGATCAAGCTTGAGTGTTTCTAGAAATCTAAGAAAGCAGTATTTAGAAGTGAAATATAGGTAGAGTTTACTGCTATATGGTTGAGTTGTGAGTCCCCAGCTAATAGAACCAAAGGACTTTGGTAAAACAGGTGATTGTCAAGAAGAGGCTTCTTTCACCAGCAGTGAGCATGCCACAAATAATCACACACATGAGAGGTAGAAGAAGCAAATACTATTGCTGTATGTCTTGGTCAACGATAGATCCAGGAGAATTTGTGAAGTTTTGTGGAACAATCAATGTTATGATGTCAATGTAGAAGTCAATGTACACTATGCTTAATTCAACTGCTATCTGAAGTAGATCCTGGGATGCTGAGTATATTATTCTGTTTTCATGCTGCTGAAAAAGACACACCCAAAACTGGGAACAAAAAGAGGTCTAACTGGACTTATAGTTCCACATGGCTGGGGAGGCCTCAGAATCATGGTGGGAGGCAAAAGACACTTCTTACTTGGCAGTGGCAAGAGAAAATGAGCAGGAAGCAAAAGTGGTTTAAACCCCTGATAAAACCCATCATCTCATCAGACATATTTACTATCACGAGAGTACCACAGGAAAAACCAGCCCCCATGATTCAGTTACCTTCCCCTGGGTCACTCCTACAACATGTGGGAATTCTGGGAGATAAAATTCAAGTTGAGATTTGAATGGGGACACAGCCAAACCATATTAGTGAGGCAAAATTTTAGTGAGCTACATATATTGACTCATTTATCCTTATTTCCAGAAGGCATATGTTTTTCATCAGTAGGCATGATGTGGCTCAGAATGTGGATTGATTTAACATCACTGCATATATAGTCTTCTGGATTGACTGATATGTAATTCTTATTAGACCCCCCCCCCCCCATTTTTCAATGACCCACCCTTTCTTCATGGACAAAATCTTGCCTTTTGTCTGGTATACTGACACTTCACTGTCAGGTCTTAAAACATCTTTCCAACTTTATCTTCTATTCATTCCCAGTCTAAAATCTTCATACACATTAATCAAGTCATTGACTCTGCAGAATCTGATGTTTGTGTTTTCATAACAAAATTGCTCTTTCACTATGTTCTCTACTTATTTCTGAAATCCTGGTCTGACGAAAGCTTTTCCTCTTCCAGCTACAATTTTCTGACCATCCAAATACAAGGTGGTCTCATTTTCCTTTCATTTCTTATATATGAGCATTCACATAAGTAGTAAGAATGTATTACCTTTTCAATAATGACATATTTTACTGTAATTTTGCTTTTTTTCCCCAATAAATGTGCTGTATGCTTTCTCAACTGACATGGAACACTTTCAAAGTTAGTCACATAGCCATCTTTCTTTCTTTGTAATCTCCAAAATACATTTTGGGCTACAGCAACACTAGGCTTTTCTCAGGTCTTCAGCTCATAGAAATAAACCTCCATCCAAATAATTTACCATTAATTAGATCCATCCATCTAATTTACTCATTTTCCGTTCCCCTGCTATAAACCCATAAAAACTGAAGTCCTTCCTGATGCCTTTCTCCTCCTTACATTCTAAACCTAAAATCTATGTAGAATGTATTAGATATTTCACTAAACATCTTCAAATGTCTTTCTTTCTATTCCCATTATCAATATACTTAACCAACCACTACCACTGTTTCCAGGGACTATTCTAATGGCTTAGAAACCAGTATTTTCCCAACTCATTATGCACACTACAGACAAAATGGTCATTTAAAAAACTTATCATTTGTTTGTGTCTTCTTTGATTTCTTTGAGCAATGTTTTGTAATTATCATTATAGAGATCTTACACCTCCCTGTATTCCTTGGAAGAATCAGTATCATTAAAATGGCTATTTTGCCCAAAGAAATGTACAGATTCAACACTATGCCTATCAAACCATCATTGATATTTTTCACAGAACTTGAAAAAAATATTTTAAATTTATATGGAACCAAAAAAAAAAAAAAAGAGCCTGCATAGCCAAGGCAATCCTAAGCAAAAAGAACAAAGCTGTAGGAATCACATTACCCAACTTTATATGAGACTACAGTGACCAAAAAAGCATGATATTGGTACAAAAACAGATGCATAGACCAATGGAACAGAATAGAGAGCTCAGAAATAAGGTCACACATCTACAACAATCTGATCTTTGCCAAAGCTGCTAAAAACAAGCAATGGAGAAAAGACTCCTTATTCAATAAATGGTACCGAGACAACTGCCTAGCCATATGCGGAAGATTGAAGCTGGACTCTTTCCTTACACACTATGCAAAAATCAACTCAAAATGGATTAAAGACTTACATGCGAAACCCAAAACTATAAAAACCCTGGAAGACAGCCTAGGCAATACCATCCTAGACATAGGAATGGGCAAAGATTTCGTGACAAAGAAACCAAAAGCAATCACAACAAAAGCAAAATTGAAAAATGGAATCTAATTAAACTTGATAATTTCTTTTGCTGGGCAGCTCTTAACAGAGTAAACAGACAACCTGTAGAATGGGAAAAATTACTAAGAAACAATGCATCTGACAAAGGCCTAATATTCAGCATCTATAGGGAACTTAAATTTGCAGGAGAAAAACAAAAGTGGGCAAAGGACATGAACAGACACTTCTCAAAAAAGTTCAATATCACAAATCATTAGAGAAATAGAAATCAAAACCACAGTTACCACCTCACACCAGTCAGAATGACCATTATAAAAAGAAACCCATATCCACTGTTGGTGGGAGTGTAAAGTAGTTCAGCCATTTGTGGAAAGCAGTAGGGTAATTTCTTAAAGAGCTACAAGCAGGACTACCATTTGACCCAGCAATCCCATTACTGGGTATATACCCAAAGGAATATAAGCCATTCTACCATAAAGACACATGCATGCAAATGTTCACTGCAGCACTGTTTACAATAGCAAAGACATGGAATGAACCTAAATGTCCATCAATGACAAATTGGATAAAGAAAATGTGGTTCATATACCCCATGAAGTATTATGCAATCATAAAAAAGAACAAGATCATGTCTTCGCAGGAATGCAAATTGAGCTGGAGACTATCATCTCTAGCAAACTAACACAGGAACAGGAAAACAGATACCACATATTCTGACTTACAAGTGGAAGCTAAATAAGAACTTACGAACACAAAGAAGGAAACAAACACTGGGGTCTACTTGAAGTAGGAGGGTGGGAAGAGGGAGAGGAACAGAACAGATAACTATTGAGTACTGGGCTTAATACTTGGGTGATGTGATAACATGTAAAACAGACCTTCACATGTACCAACAAACCTAAAATATTAAACTTATCGGAGCAACTAAATACATAAAGCAAATATTAACAGAACTGAAGGGAACAATAAATAGCAATACAATAATAGTAGAGAACTTCAATACTCCCACTTTAAACAATGGATAGATTATTCAGGTAGAAAATCAGTAAAGGAACAGCAGATTTAAACAGTCTAGACCAAATGGACCTTCTGGATACATACAGAATGTTCTCTTCAACAGCAGCAGAATACACATTCTTTTCAAGTGCACACGGTGAAAAATTGAAAGGAAAAACAAAAAATATATATATCTCTAAATAAAAAAAACTACACAAAGTGCACACAGAACATACTCCAGGATACATCATATATGAGGTCAATAAATAAGTCTTAACACATTTAAGAAAATTAAAATAATATTGAAAATAGTTTCTGACCACAATGGTATTAAACTAGAAATTAATAAGAGGAAAACTGGAAAATTCTCAAATAGGTGGAAATTAAATGATACACTTCTGAACAACCAGAGGGTCAAATAAGAAATTAAGAAAAATAAAATGTTAAGACATATAAAAATATGACATATCAAAATGTACTGGATGCAGCAAAAGCAGCTCTGAGAGAAGTATATAGTAACAAACGCCTAAATTAAGAAAAAAAGAATGATCTCAAGCAACCTAACTTTATAGAATAAAAAACTAGAAAAGAAAACAAATTAAGCAAAAATCATAAGAATAAACATAATAATAAAGATTAGAGCAGAAATTTAAAAAGAACAGACTAGAAAAACAACAGAAAACATCAAGGAAACTAAGGCCTTTTTTTTTTTTTTTTTGAAAAGATACAATTGATAAACAGTTAGACTAAAAAGACTAAAAATTATAAATGAAAGACTTTACAATTGACAGAACAGAAATGCAAGAGATCATAAGACACAAGGAACAATTATATATCAACCAATTGACCAAGAAGAACCGAATACATTCATATTAATAGAAACATGCAACTTACTAAGTCAAAATTACAAATAGTCAATGTGAATGAAACAATAACTAGTAAGGAGATTGAATCAAAAAGTAAAAACTTTGCAACAAAGAAAAGCCCAGGACCTGATGACTTCACTGGCAAATTACACATTTAAAGAATAATTAGGGTGGTCTCAGTGGCCTCTGGTGCCACGAGGTCGTGTTCCCGAACAGCGTATTCCATGGGAACCGGTACCAGCAGACTCTATAGTGCTCTCGCCAAGACACTGAACAGCAGTGCTGCCTCCCAGCACCCAGAGTATTTGGTGTCACCTGACCCAGAACATCTGGAGCCCACTGATCCTAAAGAGCTTCTTGAAGAATGCAAGTCCATCCTGCACACCGGACCTCCCCGGTTCCAGAGGGATTTTGTGGATCTGAGGACAGATTGCCCTAGTACCCACCCACCAGCCTATCAGGTTTATGCAGTGGAACATCCTCGCCCAAGCTCTTGGAGAAGGCAAAGACAACTTTGTACAATGCCCTGTTGAAGCACTCAAATGGGAAGAAAGGAAATGTCTCATCCTAGAAGAAATCCTGGCCTACCAGCCTGATATATTGTGCCTCCAAGAGGTGAACCATTATTTTGACACCTTCCAACCACTCCTCAGTAGACTAGGCTATCGAGGCACGTTTTTCCCGAAACCCTGGTCACCTTGTCTAGATGTAGAACACAACAATGGACCAGATGGCTGTGCCTTATTTTTTCTTCAAAACCAATTCAAGCTAGTCAACGGCGCCAATATTAGGCTGACAGCCATGACACTGAAAACCAACCAGGTGGCCATTGCACAGACCCTGGAGTGCAAGGAGTCAGGCCGACAGTTCTGCATTGCTGTTACCCATCTAAAAGCACGCATTGGCTGGGAGCGGTTTCGATCAGCTCAAGGCTGTGACCTCCTTCAGAACCTGTAAAACATCACCCAAGGAGCCAAGATTCCCCATATTGTGTGTGGGGACTTCAACACAGAGCCAACAGAAGAGGTCTACAAACACTTTGCTTCCTCCAGCCTCAACCTGAACAGCGCCTACAAGCTGCTGAGTGCTGATGGGCAGTCAGAACCCCCATACACTAGCTGGAAGATCCGGACCTCAGGGGAGTGCAGGCACACCCTGGATTACATCTGGTATTCTAAACATGCTCTAAATGTAAGGTCAGCTCTCAATCTGCTCACTGAAGAACAGATTGGACCCAACAGGCTACCTTCCTTCAATTATCCTTCAGACCACCTGTCTCTAGTGTGTGACTTCAGCTTTACTGAGGAACCTGATGGACTTTTATAAATACTTGTTTTTGTCTTTTTAATCACAAGAGTCTTAACGGGATGTTTCAGGCAACAAATAGGATATGACAATGCCAGAGGAAGGGTAGAAACATTGGAAGTTTCTATCATTTCATTTTCTGTTTCCAGCATGCCCTTGGAAAACACACCCTTTAGTTCACAGATCTTTTCAATTAAAACTTATAGCAAAAAAGGTGTTTGCACTCAAAAAAAAAAAAAAAAATAGCATTAATTCTTCTCAAACTTCTCAAAAAGATTGAAAAGGAGGGAAAATTCCCAATTATTTTTACAAGGTCAATATTTCGCTGATACCAAAGTCCAACAAGGACACCACAAGAAAATTGAATTACAGGCCAATATCCCTTATCATAGATGCAAAAATCCTCAAAAAAATACTAGCAAATTGAATTCAGCCACACATAAAGAGAATTGTACAATATGATCAAGTGGGATTTATGCCTAGAAGACAAGGATGATTCAATACATGCCAATCAAATATGATATACCACATTAATAAGATGAAAAAGATAATATTTTAAGATTAAATTAAAAATAAGTTCCTTAATCTATTAAGATTATCTTAATAGAAACAGAAAAAGCATTTGGCAAAATTCAGTATTTTTTCAGGATTTTAAAAAACTTGCAACAAATTAGATACAGATGGAATGTAGCTCAACCTAATGAAAGTCATGTATGAAAACCCCACAGCTAACATCATACTCAACAACTAAAAGCCAAAGTCTTTTTTAAGATCAGGAATAAGGCAAGGATGCCCACTCTCACCATATTTATTGAATATAGTACTTGAAATACAAGTCAGAACAATGAGGCAAGAAAGAAATAAAAGGCATCTAAATTATAAATAAATAAAATTTTCTGTTTGTTGATGACATAATTTTATATACAGAAAACTTTAGATGCCACCAAAACACTATTATACTAATAAACAAATTAAGTAAATTTACAGGATACAAAATCAACTGGAAAAATTTATGCCCTTATGTACTAACAATGAACTATCTGAAAAAGAATTTTAGAAATCCCATTTACAAAGCATCAAAAGCAATAAAACCACTTAGGAATGAATTTAAGGGGGTTAAAAAAAGCTGTAAGCTGAAAATCAAAGAACTGATGACAAATATTGAAGACACAAATAAATGGAAAAGTACTCTGTGTTCATGAATTGGAAGACATAATACTGTTAAAACAGCCATACTACCCAATGCAATCATTACCTTCAGTGCAATCCCTATGAAAATTCTAATGGCATGTTTCACAGAAATAGAAAAATATTCTAAAACCTATATTGAACTAGACACACACAAAACACAAATAGCCAAATCAATATTCAGAAACAAGAACATAGCGGAGGGCATCACATTACATGTTTTCAAAATATACTGAGTTATAGTAATCAAAGCAACATAGTACTGACATAAAAACAGATGTCTAGGCCACTGGAACAGAGAGCCAAGAAGTAAATACAGTTATTGTCAACTGATATTTGACAAAGTTGCCAAGACCTTTGAATGAAGAGTCTCTTCAATAAACTGTGTTGGGAAAACAGTGTCCATGTATAGAAGAATGACATTGGACACTTAATTGTTACACTTGAAACTGTAAAAGTAGTAGAAGACAAGGGAAAAGCTTCTTGAAATCTGTCTTGGAAATGATTTTTTGGACATGACCTCAAACGCACAGGCAACAAAAGCAAAAATGGACAATGAAATTATATCAAAGTAAATAAGTTCTGCACAGCAAACAGAGAAAAAAGCCTGTGGAATGTGAGAAAATATTTGTAAACCTTCTGATAAGGCATTAATTTCCAAAATAAATAACAAACTCACACCATCTCAATATCAAGAAAACCCAATTAAAAAAGGGAAAAGGACTTGAACAGGTATTTTCCAAAAGAAAACATACAAATGGCCAAGTATATGAAAAAATGTTCAACATCACTAATCAGAAAAATGCAAATTAAAACCACAATAACATGCTGCCTCATACCTATTACAATGGCTGTTATCAAAAAGATAGATGATAAAGTCTTGGCAAGGATGCCGAGAAAGGGGAACCTTTGTATGCGGTTGGTGGGAAGGTATAAATTAGTATAGCCATTGTAAATAGCATTGAGGTTCCTTAAAAAATTAAAACAGAACTACCATATTACCTAGCAGTCCTACTCCTGCATACATACCTAAAGGAAATAAAATAAAGATGTTAAACAGATATCTGTACCCCCATGTTCACTGCAGCATTATTTATAACAGCTAAGATGCATAATCAGCTTAAGTGTCCATCAGCAATAGATAAAAAAAGTAATGTATATATACAACGTAATATTTATTCAGTCTTAACAGAAAATCCTGTCCTATGTGACCTCATGGATGAACCTTGAGAATATTACGCTAAGTAGAATAAGCCAGACACAGACAGACAAATGCTGTATTACCTCACTTGTATGTGGAATCCAGACAAGTAGAGAATAGGGGGTGGGGGAAGGGAATGAGGAATGATTAGTCAAAGGATACAAAGTTTTAGATGAATAAGCTCTGGTGATCTATGTGTGCAGCATGGTTACTACAGTTAATAATAATAAATTATATACTCAATTACTGAGGAAATGCAAAATGTTCTCACCACAAAAAAAAAAAAAAAAAAAAAAAAAGAGGGGATGGGTAATTAGCCTGATTTAATCATTTTACAATGTATACATATCTCAAAACATCACATAATACACTGTAAATATGTACAATTCTTGTCAATTATACCCCAATTGGATTAGCCATTATACAGTTTTAGTTTTACAAGAGGAAAATGTTCAGGAAAGTTGTTGCATAACAATGGGAATGTACTTAACATTACTGAAGTATACACTTAATAAATGGTACATCTTATTTTGTTTTTCCAAACTTTCTTATTTGATTGTCATATCTGTATTTTAAAATAAAAAATGGTGACTATTTCTTCTTCCAATGAAAATATAAAGTATCTACATTTCCTGGTACAACAGACATGGAATTGTCTATATGTTTCTTTAGCATGACCTTCCGATCCTCTATCAAAAGCTTTGTGTTCTAGATTTACTAGCTCTTGTTAAGTCTCTGAATAAGCCAATATCCTTCCAACCTCAGGGATTTTAAATATTTTATTCTTGTTACCTACACTTTTCATGAGCAATCTCGTTTACCTTTTTGGCTAGATCCTATTAATTTATGATATGTCAGGTTAAAATTAACATCCTCAGGCAAACTTTGACATCTCTGGGAACAAAGCAGGAACATATATATATATATATATATATATAGTCTATTGGCATGTATTACTTCTTTTTTGTGTATATGAGTGTGTGTATGTGTAAGAACAGCATAACAGCTGGAGCCCTTGAAGCTCCGTCTTTGCTGACTGGTTAACAGAACCAACACTTGCATTCTTGGTCATTATGAAATATGAATGTGTACATTTCTGATACTAACATTAGGGATGAACTCATGAACCAAAATAGAATCATCAGAACATTTTATCCTCCTAGCCACAGTCTGATTAAAGAACGAGCATGTGCCTCAATATAGAAAAGTAGTAATTAGAAAATACTTCGTGATACTTTTCGGAATTATCATGAGAGAAGTCAACTGAGATTATGAATTATGTGTTACACATAAACCTGGAAGGTAACAAATGCTATGGCCATATTGTTTATGTACTGTAGAGGAAGAAGAGCAGGAATATGGAGAAAATAAGGTAAACTTTGGAGAGTATTTTTTTAGTGGATCTCACCATAGCTGAAAGCAAGGGTTAAATGTACATTTTCTAGAGAAGTGAGTGAAGACTTTCCACCCTTTTCCTTAATTTTAAATAGTTAAATTTCTTTCACTTTTTATCAAAGTAATCATAATATACTATTTTGGTGTCTTGAGTATGTAACCAAGTGCTGAGCACCTAGAATCTTTTCAATCTATGCTGCTTACTGAGTTAATGAATAAATGTGTGATCAAAAGATTTATGATATCTACAACAGTGGCTTAACATAACTTGTTATTCTGATCATATATATAGAATAACTATTAAAATAGTGATTACAGTAACTCTAATATCATGTCCCATTGATTGATTACATTCTGCTCTTGGCTTAAAAAACACAATAAGGTCACAGTTGGAGATGGAGACTAATAGAAGGTTCAAGACCTAAAATAACAGGTTAAAATAAGAAATAAAAACGTTTAATTTCTAGTGTGCATTTTCCAGATAGCATTAAGGTATACAGAATATTGATTAGTGAATAGATCCCACTTGCCATAATTTGAAAATACTGATATATTCTATCTCATATAGCCTTTTATAGCAAGTGGATAAGGGAGTTTCAGCAAGTATGATTTCTTTAGTGAACTTAATATTATAGTCCAATACTGCTATGTAGGTGCCATCTATTGAAACTTCATAATGTTTAATGGCTTATGTTAAAAAGAAGTTTGTGTGGATGATAGAATTACATGAAGAATAGCATGCTAAAGGATGCCTAAATTTATCACCCTCTGAAGCAAATGAGAAAAGTATTGGCAGATGTAAATATGAGAGGGGGGAATGGGTGGATTTCTGGTGAATGGAATCGGAATTTCCAATAGCTTCTCATTCCCCAGGGTTCTTAATACTAGCAAAGTGCAAAGTAACCTCAAGGATCAATAAAATTGCAAGTCAATGAAATTTTACTGTTAAGGGGAGCAGAAAAGAGTCTACTTCAGATGTTTGTTTTCTAACTGATAGCATCTGTATAGAAAAGCTAAAATCACATATTTTTCTATTTATTGCTATTCAAGTAAAAAAAAATTCCATTGCAGGTGGAACTATGAAGAATCTTTTATCACGAAAGCTAATAAGTTTCCTCTGTAAACTGACTAACAAAGGCAAAATAGTAGGGAAGCAAATCTCCAAGTAAGTCTCAATTTATCTACCCTTTTCAAGAATCTGGAGGTTACAGAGTAGCAAGAATTTTTAAAAAATACA